CTCCATTATCTATGGCATTTAACATTTAAAGCGACAATAGCTTTGATTTTGAAAATGTTTTGTATAAATATAAACGAAATCGTACTGAAACATTGTTTTAGACACAATGCATGGAGCATTTCGTTGAAATCGATTTCAAGGTGGGACCGAAGAAAATAACGACGCACCACGCACGCTATTATAGAAAAATTATTAATCATAAATAATCAATGAGAGGAAGTCAGAGAGCAGATTAGCCTCTCAAGATGGTGACGTATATGACATTTCGCCCAGGGTCCCAATGATTTTATGAGGTAATCTCGGAACGTAGTCTCCTTGACAACACTGGATTTCTGTAGATGGCGACCACCGAAGACCTGGTCGCATCCCAACGGCCAGTGTTTTCATTGTACAGCGTCGGTATGTAGCGTATACAGTATGTCATGCATTCAGTGTCCGCATTTTGACTAATGACACAAGAAATGTTTTATCAAAAATATAAATCGGGGGGAAAAGATCGATATTTACAGCTGTTGCAGCTTTACATGTAATAGGTTTTCCATGGTGATCGGTATTCCGACATTTTAAGAAGATAGAGCCTACATTTTGCGTGGACCTATTGAGACTTTCCTTCGCTCGTGTGGATTTGAGTGTAAAACGCAGAAACAGTTGTTAAATTTGGTGACCAGTTTAGTATGATAGAAAGCGTTTACAGGCTTTACAGAGTGGGGGTCAAGACCGAATATACGTGATTCCGGCGTTTAAATAATATTCATGAGATATGTCTACGTCATAACCTCGTTAAAGGTTCGCAGTGCACATGCTTCGGGTTCTTTTTCTGTAATACAAAACGCATGCGTCATCACAGTGAGGTCAATTGAAGTTTACGTTCCATGCAAGTAAAGTCCAGCACCGTCAATGAGGTTTCGCCACTTCTAACAAGCTAGCTGAGGATTTGTACACACTCCCATGTCATACGCTGTAATGTGCAATTACAATTCTGGTTTCCCCATAACTGGATGTTATGTAGTCTACGAACCCTTACATAATTAATTAAAGCAAAAAAGTTTCTAATCTCCCCTATATGAACACTCGCATTTGCTTAGATTTATCCCATTTCCATAGACCACTACTTCAATTTAGGTCATATTTATTTATTTTTAAGTTCAATTTCTTCTATATACCATTACTTTTATTTGCTTAGGTATCCTCCATTTCTATGGACCACTACTTCAATTTAGGTCATATTTATTTTAGGTTTAATTACTTCTATGGTACCATCACTTGTGCTTAGCTATCTTCTATTTCTGTTGACCACTACATGTACTTTAATTTAGGTCATGTTTATTTTTACTTTCAACTTCTCTGATATACCAGCACCCGTACTTGTACAGGTGTCTTCCATTTCTTTGCACACACACAGACACAAAATAAAACACAGTAATTTACCATATCATGAGTTCAAGCCTCTTTTTCTCAGTTTAAATGAAGTACAATTAAATGTCTCTCAATTAGACTATTCACTGGACAGGAGAGATTGAGAGATTGCTGAATGTAGTTTAAGGTTGTCAGGATTAGGAATGACCTACTTCAATTACTTTGTTCTACTGACACCCGTCATCAATTACTAGACGGTGACTTGAGCGTGGCTGTGGCGTATTAATGTGTATTGATATGAACACTAGCAAGGTGACTTTTAATGCCAGGGAACTGCCACATCAGTCTCTGTAAAGATGCTCTACTGATTTTATTATGAGCGAACATGCAATCGATAAATCAATCAATCATACATAACTCATTGACAGATTGATTAATGCATAATTACATTAGCATAAATAGTCTATTCGTTTTGGTCTGTAGAGCAAGACTCAAGCGACCCCGACTCATCAGATGGAGATGAAGATATAATGTCCCCTGAAGAAGAAGCTGAAATGCACCATGAATTCACGAGACGAGAATCAATGATGAGAAGACCGACTTTATTATCACTAGGAAATATATTAGAAGAACATGAAAGCGACGTGAAAGTAAAAGAATTTCTCACTGAAGAAAACAGTTCTGATCACGAAAATCTTGCTCAATTGCATTTATGAGTTACATAGATATAATTAGTACACCAACCGGTACCATTACCTGAATATGATTAAGTGGTCAGCAAAAGCGCAACAATTTCATGCGGCGTGTGCGTCACTTGATTAGAATAATTTAAATGTGTTAGCGTTGTGTAAACAATTTATCTTTGGAAATGAATATAATTAATCAATATATCCTATATAATGCTGGATTTAATTAAACATATCTACTTGACACTACAAATAGTTTACAACATAATGCTATTTATTTATCCATCCATGAATATGTATCAACAATATCTTGTAGCTACGGCTATTCGTGCTGAAAATAATGAAGTTGACCTACAATCTTTACATTAATCAGTCAAAGACACTGTATTTTCTAGTGTCTTTGAATCAGTAGACATTCGGGATTTGTATTTTCCACTTAATTCTACCAATAATTGTATTTACATTTTGTCTGAAATCGTTGTACAAGTGTTCGTTTAATTTATGTGATGGAAATGACACATGGACACCTTTTGTGTTTTTAATACTATTTATAACATCGACTCGACATTTTAAATAGTTTTATCATTTATTCACTTTGTGTTTATATGTTCGGTTTAACTTAGGTTGCAATAAATATGAAACGAAAGAGAACTTAAGGGATTGTGCAACAAAGACATTATGGTATATTATTGTGATAGCTTTCACTTGCGGGGTATGTCAGAGGGATATGCATTGTCAGAAGATTCATTACCAATAGGTTGTTAAATGAGATGGGAAATTGTGTCAGGGATTTCTTATTAGTGAATGAAATACAATATTTCTTGATGTATAAGCGTCCATAATACAACATCCGGTTGACGTCCCCTCAACGTTGTTAACGGTTGGACTCATTTTCAATATTACAGTTAGAAAGATGTTTTAAATAAAAAAAATACTCGATACAGTTTTACTTTTACGACGGGTGAATGACAGAGCGCATGATCACCACTAGTTGAAGAAATTTCGTTTTATATCTCAAAAAACGTTTTTTTTGGAGATTCATTTACATGGTAACATGCATTCCTGTGCAAAACGAAAAAGTTTTTAGAAAACATTCGTATATACTCGAGTATGGTCATTAAGACAGGCGCTGTGAATGTTTAATATTATTCTTAGAACTATAATCGTATATTATGTTTGTGTCACGTAACCCCTCTATATGCAACGTTTTATTACCCCTCTATATCGGCGATAAAATATAAATCTCTATATAAGCATGGCTCTACGTCGCGTGCTCTTCGGAGTAGGAAGCATTTTTAAGATGAGAAAACATGCATGCGTGCTGCATATAATTAACACTTGAATATTGGTCGGTAACACATTATCAGTTCATTTGCAGAAAATTTGCTTTACAACCTTTACATTACCCCGATCCTGTGTGTCCGCTTCGTAATATAAACATAGTATTCTCTCAAATCCGACTCAACGATTATTTTTATTATTGCTTATAAAATATAAGAGAATATTCTCCCATGGCATCAAATATGAGAATTTCTCAATCTATTTGTGAAACTGCATTGAGCATCTATAAGATTCACACTGTGTACATACATTACAACCTGGAAATAAAATAACAGCACATCATCGCACTTGATACACATTCGTGTCTCAAACACGTGTGTAAATGTTGTTTTTGTACATGATGATATATTGTGTACAGGTAGGTATATAGACAGGTGTGAGTTTGTCACCTCAGAGATATTCACAGATATATGTGACAACATAAGTACAAGTTCATGACCTCATAAAGGTCCGTATATATATATAAATGACATGATACAGAAACAAATTCATGCAAGTACGACCTCTCTGGGTTTAGTATGTATTCTTAGAGACCAGTATGTATATATGACAAGATACAGGTGCAAATACATGACTTCATAGAGGTCATAGTGTATGACAAGATACAGGTGCAAATACATGACTTCATAGAGGTCATAGTGTATGACAAGATACAGGTTCAAGTTTGTGACTTCATAGAGGCCATAGTGTATGACAAGATACAGGTTCAAGTTTGTGACTTCATAGAGGTCATAGTGTATGACAAGATACAGGTTCAAGTTTGTGACTTCATAGAGGTCATAGTGTATGACAAGATACAGGTTCAAGTTTGTGACTTCATAGAGGTCATAGTGTATGACAAGATACAGGTTCAAGTTTGTGACCTCATAGAGGTCATAGTGTATGACAAGATACAGGTTCAAGTTTGTGACCTCGTGGAGGTCATAGTGTATGACAAGATACAGATTCAAGTTTGTGACCTCATAGAGGTCATAGTGTATGACAAGATACAGGTTCAAGTTTGTGACCTCATAGAGGTCATAGTGTATGACAAGATACAGGTTCAAGTTTGTGACCTCATAGAGGTCATAGTGTTTGACAAGATACAGATTCAAGTTTGTGACCTCATAGAGTTCATAGTGTATGACAAGATACAGGTTCAAGTTTGTAACCTCATAGAGGTCATAGTGTATGACAAGATACAGGTTCAAGTTTGTGACCTCATAGAGGTCATAGTGTATGACAAGATACAGGTTCAAGTTTGTGACCTCATAGAGGTCATAGTGTTTGACAAGATACAGATTCAAGTTTGTGACCTCATAGAGTTCATAGTGTATGACAAGATACAGGTTCAAGTTTGTAACCTCATAGAGGTCATAGTGTATGACAAGATACAGGTTCAAGTGTGTGACCTCATATAGGTCATATTGTATGACAAGATACAGGTTCAAGTGTGTGACCTCATAAAGGTCAGGATGTATATATATATGACAAGAGACAAATTCAAGTTCATGACCTCATAGGTCATTATATATAGCAGCCAAGATAAAGTGTAAGTTGATGACAAAATATACAAATGAAAGTGACTGCTCATCCAGATTAATTCACTCAAAAATAAAAATAAAGCACAGAATAGTATTTGTTGCAAAGATTCTGTATATTTTATTCATTTAGTTATTTTTTCTCAAAATACAATTCAAAATAACACATTTTCACAATGAAAAAACAGCATTTTGTCTGCACCACTTGTATTGTTATTTGATGTTGAATATCAATTGTAAATAATATATATGTTAAGATACATCATTCAGCTTTGATTCATCACTGCAACCACCAGATATACATGCATGGTATGAATACATTGATTTCATAGTGGTTTTTATAATACAGTATATAGTATTCATTTATTTTGCAATATCTTCTTCACTTTCATCTTCATACAATAACTCTGACAAAGACTCTGTACTCTTCATGAAAAGACTGCTACAATACGGTGAACATGACATGAAGTAGAACGGTAGATTGCGTATCCCAAATGCTTTACTGCAAGGACGAATTTGACGTAACCCACTGCCATACATAGGTCCCTTGCAACAATCACACACTGACTGACTGGAAACAAAAAATGTATAAAATACGTTTATAAACTGTCTCTGTAGATTATAATAAATTGATATAAGTAAATAATTTTGAAATTTGAGTCCTGGTTGACACAAACAACAGCATCATTGTAAAATACTGGTTATAATTCTCTGTACCAATGCAACATGAGTTGTCAATCATTTTACTGTGTTATAGTACTGCACAGTGTATTATGTTACATTACCTGTTTAGAATATGGTTAATATTGTCAGGAATCACACGTTGATGTGTCTCATTTATACGCCGTTGTTTTACTATCAAAGCAGCCATGTCAGACAAACGCTGTTAAAGGATAGAAAAACAAATCAAATTCTATTGACCATGATAAGCAATTGTGATACTACTGAAAATACAATGTGTGCTATGCAGTAGTATCCTGAGGCAAGTTCCAAATAATTGTTTCCATAGTTACTACAACAGATGATGACCTTACAGTAATACCCAGTCTTTCCTTCTTCCAACTGCTGCTTTCTCAATGTGTGCTGCATGCACTTGGCAATACAATTATATTGACAAAACTAAAATCATTTTACCCTTCACATACAGCAGTTCTTTTTGAAAATAAACATGATTATCCACATAGTAACAGTGATCTTACTGCAATGTGGAAAGGAATGCAAATACTGACAGTATTGTTTAGATGCTGTGCATTGCACTCGTTCCATAGCAATGAAGGACTACAGTAAATATTAGTTCAAAAGAGTTATATACATGGTGACAGCAGAGAAGGGCAGTCTGTAGAGACACACCTGTGGTTGGTTTGTGCTGTTCTCTTTCCAAAAGAGAGGATGCATGAAATTGTTCTTGACTTTGAGATAACGAAGATATCTGAACTTGAGCGCATTACTTGGTAAAGCAGCCAGCTGATTACCTTCTAGATTCAATTCTCTTATGTAGCTAAAAGAAAATAAATTCAGTAACCTTATATCATAAAACTATTACCTAACTATAAGACTATAATTGGCTTATAAATGAATGAAATCCCTTATCAAATCATATATCCCGTCCCCCTAATGGTTAATATGACTAAACAATTGTTTGTCTAATAACACTTGAGGATCAAGAAAAGAAAGACATAGCAGACTCATGGACATGGTCAAATTTTTAATGTTTCAAACAAATAAAATATATTCAAGTTTTTCATTCAACCTTAAAACTCTGATGTTGCCTCTAAATACAAAGGCAATAGATGGGCCAGTGGAAATCCAGCAAATAAATCACAATAGGAGAGTATAATGTGTGAAATATATATTGTATACTTACTGTAGTTGTTTTATTTCATTTGGTAAATATTTGATTTTATTATAAGATACATCAAGAAAGACCAATGGTAATGTATATAAACTGCAAACAATAACAAATATATGCATTAAGACCAATCGTACAATTTAGACAAGAATATAGTATTGTACTGAAACCTGTCTACAGCAAGCATCAAAGTCACTCTTTATTTAGTTTATGGAGGTCTTTACTAAATATTATATACAAGAGTTAGTGAGCTACTTACCTCATTGGAAGCGAAGATATCTGATTGTAAGATATTACTAATGTATTTAACTGTTTTAGTTTATAGATGTCATGTGGTATTTCTTTAATTGGGTTATTTCTTAATTTTAATACCTCTAGATTACGCATATTTAGTATCTCAGCTGGGAAAACCTAAGAAAAATGATAATCATAGTGAAATTTTGTTCAGATTTTATCAAATAAATAACACATAACATTTAAGACACAATAAAATACAAACCAAAAGAAAAAAAAAAATCAAACAAACAAAAGGTCATTTGGGGTAGCTTATCCATATACACATTCATCATAAAGTTTCAACTGTCATGCTCACCATATTTTCACTTTAATGGGTTCATAAAAATACGGAATTTGGGAATTTTTGGAAATACAAACTGACATTTTTACACTTCTTACCTCAAAATTGTGCTCAGTGACATCGAATGAAGAAGTTGTTTGATATAATGAACACAAATCCTAATCTTGTGAAATAATTTCAAATAATTGACATATATTTTAGTGAGTTTTCAGGGTGATAATAGTTTTCCATGCTATACAATGGGAGAATGTCACCCATAATGCATTGCGTGACATGTTCAATAGTGCAAAATTATGAATTCAGCTTGATCTGTAATCTGCTCCATAGCATCACTGGTAGCAAACACACATTATATTGTATTTGATCTTATACTAGAGTCACACTGACATTTTTCATTGATAAAGATATGCATTATTAGTTTATCTCATTTAGAATTATGGACATGCATTTTGTTTTCATATTTTGATATCAAGTTTGTTTAATGATTTCATTGAAATTTATAAACACAGGTTTTCATGTTAGAATGATACAGAATATTGCTTTTCAATAATGAGTAAGTGATTTATCCTGCCAGCCCCATGCATGTACTTTTACATTACATGTCCAGATAGGGGTTAATAATTGAGAGAAATCAGGTGAATCTAATATCACATGTTGAAAATCAGGCAATTCTACTACAAGACCTGCAAATGAGAGCAGTCCAAATAATTCTTGAATAGGTAACTGATGAAAGGAACAAATTGGATTGCTGACCACGGAGCACCAACCACTAGTCATCATCAATCCACTACCCATTGTAACAAGGATACTGTGATGTTTTCACATTTTGTGCACTGAAGACAGGTAACACA